CAAAAAGTAAAAAAAAGCCTGATTCTGGGTCTGGATATGTGTTTTATGGTTGCGGAATTAGATCACGGATAAATCCAGTCGAAATGAGTTGTCTTCAACCAATARCTTAAAATGAAAACTTTATCCAACTGAAACAAACAGACTAAAACAAGTRACATTTCACCATAGAGTTTAGCTTTTATTTGTACAATGCATTCCAGCAAAGTTTGGAAAATATGGCACACAAAAAAGATTTTCACTTAAATAATTTTTTTCCCCTAAAAATCATCCGTCCCAGATCTTACCAGTTAATCACCACTGAGCTTTAAACAAGCTCTGCAAAGTTTTACACAGAAGTCAACAGAGAACGTGATGGGTGATCTGTTTGAAATATATCACAGTGAAACTAGATGTCTTGCCACAGTTTTTAATGCGACTGAAAATCAACGGTTATCCTTGTTAAACTTTGTACATAAATCCTTCTGGGTCATCTGGTTTTAATCTGGTTTGTAAGCTTTATAGTTCAAACAAACAAACAAAAAATAAGCAGCAGGATTAGAAGCAAATACAGYTTTTTGATGCCAAGTTTTTAACTCAAACTGAAACAAATCCCATCAACAAACCAGTTATTGTCCAGATAATTATGTTTTTAAAACCAGAACACAGTGTCAGCGTGATGGAAGTGGCTCAGATTTATCCAGCTCTGTTTCTACATCGGCACARGATCACGTGAGCCAGAACTGGCAGAAATTCACCGTCATGCTGCCTGATGTCCGACTGCAGAGCTGCTGGAAAACACAAACTCCGCAGCTTCACAAATGGCCATGTTTTAGGGCAATCGTTCGTGCACAATCAGACAGAAGAGGAGAGTTTTTATCAGAGGAGTTAACACAAACCACCTCTCTATGGAGGTGGTTACAGAATCAAGAACACCGTAAGCGCTAATACGAGCTAATTCTGGTTCCAATCTTGCACTCCCACATCCCATATTGCAGGGCGGGATTAGGCACCCAGGAGGTCCTAAACTGACAAATTTATTGTGTTGATCATTTCACTTTATTATAATTTTTTTGTTTGTTTATGGCCAAAATTAGACAGTTTTCAATCTGACCAGTTAGATTAAAAAAAAATTATAAATTTTCAAACGTTTGCAAGACAAATTTTCTCTCAAAATATTCATAATTTGTCACAGGCACATCCTCTAATCAACTCTGTGTTTCTTCCTTCCATTTCCAGGTTCTTTAATCTAACAGAGCAGGTAAAGCTTTGGTTCAGTTGAGTTATAATCCTTTGGGACATTGTTTTATCCGAGCTCCAGCAGCTGTGGGTTAATCTGCCACATCTGTCCTGGAAATAATCCCACTAAACATCCTGCCAGGAAACGTTTAGGCCAGACCTGGCAGGCAAGTTCCCACCTGAACTGTGCAACGCCACCGGCTCGGTCGGCTGACAACAAACGAGTCTCGGCTGCGGTCAGAAACCCACAGTCGTGGCAACAGCTCAGCCATCTCACGACTGCGAGCGCCGGCGCGCCTCGGTCGGTTCCGACTCGAGCCTGAACTGCTATGGCTGAGCATGTGCTGCCCAATCTGCTTCTGAATGTGAAATAATCTCAACATTCTTTCTTTGGATCGCAACACAGGCAGATTCTAACAAAGGAGAAGAGATTTTAGGTGTAAACGTAAATGGAAATTTTTTTATGTGTATGTTCTGGAAGCTCTTAAATATTTCTGACTTGATCACATTTGATAAAGGGCATAAAAAGGGGGCAGCCAAGCATATTACTTAGTATTAAAATAACTGTAAAGAAAGTGGTTCATTCTGGTGATTACTACTGCAAAATGAAGGCAGTAAAACACATTTTATTCTATCCTCACAGCTCCCTTTTGTGCTTTTTTTTTTAAAAGATTTGGATTCAAGCAACATTCATTCAATTCATAATCCACAAACGTCTGTTTTCTGGTTATTAATCCATCTCTAAAACATTCAGGCAGTCAAAAAACACAAACCTGCAGCTTTAAAAACAGAGAACTGCGAACGAAGCGCTTCATTCCTCTGTGAGATGTGCTTGTAAATAATCCATCACGACTCCCGACAGGTGCGTTTAAGGCTCCATCAAAAGCTGCTTGTGCGCACAGATCATCATCGTTATCGAGCGTAACAACTGACAGAGCGTTTCAGAATTCATGTCGGCAGTTTAGGCTGCGAAAAGTAAAACTTCACTCACACGGGTCAGTTTCAATTTCATGTCCAACTGAAAAGAACCAAAAGTCAGTGGGCTTTCAAACACAGCCTGTCCTACTGTTAATTAGTAAACCTTCACTTTCTCTCTGTGTTCAAAGGTGCTACATGTATCATTTTTAACACCAGGTGATTTATTCTGCAACATTAGCTTATTTATTCAACAATACAACCGCTGCTGAGATGACTGACAGGTCCACCGGCCTCTGGGCTGCACTCACTCGTTTTTTAGGTAAATCTTTCCTGGTGGTTTTACTTGCAGTGCAAATGGAACTGAAGGCGTCTCATTTTCTCCCCGTTTGAAGTTGTGAAGGGGACTCTGAGGCAAAAAGAAAAGGACAGAAATGGACTCCGGAGTTTTATTCTCTCTGGAAAAATTAAACATGAAAGAAAAATAATGGAAAGAGAAGGAGCTCAACGCGCTGCGATAATTATAAAGAAATTCATGAGCTGCAGTTCAGCTGAGCGGGCTACGTTCTGCACCTCCAGTGTCGAGGCAGCTGCCCCGAGCTCTGGCCATCTTCAAACCCGGCGGTGGACCAACTGGGTGAGGAGGCCTTCAAGCTGAATTAGGAGTCCTCTCCGGTTTTGTCAGCTGGTAGGACTCCAGAGGCAGCTGAGGGGTACTGAGGGTCAGGCAGGATGAAGCTACAGGTGCTGGTCATAAAATTAGAATATCATGAAAAAGTAGATTTATTTCAGTAATTCCATTTAAAAAGTGAAACTTGTATATTATATTCATACATTACATACAAACTCATATATTTCAAATGTTTATTTCGTTTAATTTTGATGATTACAAATGACAACAAATGAAAATCTCAAATTCAGCATATCAGAAAATTAGAATCTTGTGAAAAGGTTCAAAATGGATGGCACCTGGTACCACACTCTAATCAGCTAATTAACTCAAACCACCTGCAAAGYCCTTTAAATGGTCTTTCAGTCTAGTTCTATAGGCTACACAATCATGGGGAAGACTGCTGACTTGACAGTTGTCCAAAAGACGACCATCGACACCTTGCACAAGGAGGGCAAGACACAAAAGGTCATCGCTAAAGAAGCTGGCTGTTCACAGAGCTCTGTGTCCAAGCACATTAATAGAGAGGCGAAGGGAAGGAAAAGATGTGGTCGAAAAAAATGTACAAGCAAGAGAGATAACCYCACCCTGGAGAGGATTGTGAAACAAAACCCATTCAAAAATGTGGGGGAGATTCACAAAGAGTGGACTGCAGCTGGAGTGAGTGCTTCAAGAACCACCACACACAGACGTATGAAAGACATGGGTTTCTGCTGTCGCATTCCTTGTGTCAAGCCACTCTTGAACCACAGACAGCGACAGAAGCGTCTTGCCTGGGCTACAGAGAAACAGGACTGGACTGCTGGTGAGTGGTCCAAAGTCATGTTCTCTGATGAAAGTAAATTTTGCATTTCCTTTGGAAATCAGGGTCCCAGAGTCTGGCGGAAAAGAAGAGAGGCACTTCATCCACGTTGCTTGAAGTCCAGTGTAAAGTTTCCACAGTCAGTGATGGTTTGGGGTGCCATGTCATCTGCTGGTGTTGGTCCATTGTGTTTTCTGAGGTCCAGGGTCAACGCAGCCACATACCAGGAAGTTTTAGAGCACTTCATGCTTCCTGCTGCTGACCAACTTTTTGGAGATGCAGATTTCATTTTCCAACAGGACTTGGCACCTGCACACAGTGCCAAAGCTACCAGTACCTGGTTGAAGGACCATGGTATCCCTGTTCTTAATTGGCCAGCAAACTCTCCGGACCTTAACCCCATAGAAAATCTATGGGGTATTGTGAAGAAGAAGATGCAATACACCAGACCCAACAATTCAGAAGAGTTAAAAGCCACTATTAGAGCAACCTGGGCTATCATAACACCTGAGCAGTGCCACAGACTGATCGACTCCATGCCACGCCGCATTGCTGCAGTAATACKGGCCAAAGGAGCCCCAACTAAATACTGAGTGCTGTACATGCTCATACTTTTCAGTTGGCCAACATTTCTATAAATCCTTTGTTTTTATTGGTCTTCAGTAATATTCTAATTTTCTGATATGCTGAATTTGAGATTTTCATTTGTTGTCATTTGTAATCATCAAAATTAAACGAAATAAACATTTGAAATATATGAGTTTGTATGTAATGTATGAATATAATATACAAGTTTCACTTTTTAAATGGAATTACTGAAATAAATCTACTTTTTCATGATATTCTAATTTTATGACCAGCACCTGTGTGTCTGATGATGAGGCTAAAAATCAAATGTTGGAAAAGTCTGATGAGGCCAAAGATAGAAACTCTTTGATGATCTGGTAATTTTACCATCAGGGGGCCGAGGTGGGGAAAGCAGAACTGTACCAACACTGTATATTAGCGTACAGTATGGTGGAGGTGAGGTACTGTTAGCCTCAACACGTAACATCGTCACGCAGTGGAAGGAATAATTTTGAAGACTTCTTAATAGGGATGCACGATATATCAGTATTGATATCGGTATCGGTCCGATATGTAAAAATGAGCCAATATTAACGTTCAATATTGATTTTCTACCTTTTTAGCTTTATTTTCTGTTTTGGGAGGGGAGATGGTTGGTTGAGCAGCATTTGTTTGATCAGGATAGTGATATTGATGCTGTGCAGCCAGGAATAACTGAAGTAGAGCCATGTCATGGTCGTTTATTTACGGTATCAAAAAAAGACCCAAGTGTGTTTGTGCGTATGTGTATAYTATAATTTGTGTGTTCGTGTAATGTCGGTAAATATCAGTTATCGGCCATAACAGCAATAATTATATCAGATATCGATATTGGCTGAAATTTTCATATCGGTGCATCCCTACTTCTTAATCTCAACAAAAGTGAGTCGAGGGACTTTGAGGTTTGCCCACGAGGTATTTAAAAAGCTCGGCTGCAGCAGAGCTCTGGTCGTGGATGAGATCCATCCTGAAGGCTCTGGGCTCTGGTGGTTTTGCAACATCGTGTTTACTGTGTGTTTGGTCARAAAGTTGAGGGCGTGTTTGTCAATGATGAAAGCGATCGGATGCTGCATTTTGCTACTCGTTTCCAGAATCCGACTGTTGTAGACGAAAGCAGACATTTATAAAGATAGTGAAATGGCCAAAGATTCATGGACGAAGATAACGCAGCCAAAAACTCTGACGCTTTAATCGGGACAGATCTGCGAACAAATTAAAGTTGGATATCTGAGGGGTTTTTTTGTGCAGTGTGGACTCCAGCATTAAGAAACCCCATGTTTAGCGCAGCAGGAGGGGTTTCCCAGGACTTCTGCAGTGTGTCTCAGGCTATGAAAGATGTGTGCAATAATAAACGTTGAACCATCACGTGACCGCATGTCAACGACTGAGCCCAGCCACCTTACGGAGGAAGCCCATTTTCACTTCCTGTTTCTATGACCTCATTCTTTTGGTCATGGTCCATATCACATGATTATAGATGAGGACTGGAACATAAACGGGGAAAATAAACTGAGAGCTCCACCTTTTCCTCATTAGGAGTGCACTGAGCTTTTTAACACATCATAAAATCAGAATAACAGCAAAAAATGCAAACATAAATTGAGAAACTGGACTGTCAGCCATCTCAGGCACYATCTCTCAGTTAACGGCCAATTTATGAATCCAGCTTAGGCTCAATTGATGTCTAAAAATGTTACACATAAAACCTCTAAATGTGCATAAAACAGCCTCTACAATCAGTAACTGGCTGCATAAAATAAATTAAATACAYCCGTATTTCACATAAAAGCATTTTCTACAAATGAAACATAGAATATAGCATAAATCTCTAAGCATATTGCTCAATTTTTACATTCACAATTTAGTTGATAAATAAAACATTTAGTTTAACCCTTTCGTCATTTGTTCCTCTTTGCACATTCATCACATATCTATATATATATATTCATCTCAAAGATTAAAATGTGTTATTAAACACTGTAAAGTTGGATAAATTACATTGTACACAGTAAACCTATCTGAATGATGCGTTTCTTTTTGTTTTTTATGGGGAAAGTGTTATTATTTAACAAATTAAAGAAACCAGTATACATTATTTTCTGATATTACTGTAACTGAATCCAATATGATGTTTAAAAAAACAAGAAACACTGGCTGATACTGTTTGTGACATGTATACCCTGTTCAGTCCATCCAGCAGAATTAAAAGCCAAAGAAACATTTCATATTAATTATCTAGAGAATAAATGAAAGTAAATCTAATAGCGAGCTCACTCTGTTATAAAACGCGTCTCACCCTTGAACTTATAGAGATTAAATGRGATATGTTGGCTAATCTCATAAAATGCAACAACTTTTATGCAGCTTTTACAAGGCTGAAGAAGGCAGCAGCTAAATGCAAAATTAAAAATTTACAGAAAATTTTTTTTCTGATTGTTCGATGTTCTCTACCTTTTGGCACTTCAGTTCCAGAATTGGAATCTCTTCTCCCCACCGAGCCAAACTGCTTTTTTCTTTCAGTGTTCAACCAGATGACGACGATGACGGCGAGGATGATGAAGAAGATGAAGYTGAAGGYGAGGGTCTATATGCGTCGCCTCCCATTTCTGTGAATCTAGAAAACTCCCTCTCCTTTTCCTTTCTGCTCCCGGTGCAAACGGACCTCTGGGCTGGTTTGAACTGCCACGTGACCTTCTTCGTGGCCGACTGCTGCTCGGGCGCCACCACCGCCGCCTCTGCCATCGCAGTTTGAGTTTCCGTGGGAACGTCTGACGCTGCTGCCGTGCTGGTGGTAACGTTCCCTGAATCGCTGTCGTCGAGTTCTTCTTGCTCCGTGAAGAGCTCGCTCATCGCGTCGGGCTCGGTGGTCCCTCCGTACACGTCCCAGTCGGGCTCAACGGGGAGCCGCCTCGGCCGCGCAGATCTGCTGCCGGCAGCCGAGACTCTGGTGGAGCGATTGGGATCGGAGTCGGACAGGTCTGAGTCCCAGTCGCTGTCCCCTGCCACGGAGCCGCAACCCAGAACTGACACGTCCACGGGCCCAGAATCAGAACTCTCAGAATCTGAGTCCCTGGAAAAACACAGAGAAACAAAAACTAAGATACTGTCCAATATGTGTGAATGACAGAGACAACAAATTATTCCGTATGTATTATATACTGTGTGT